TTCCTCACTTCCTTTAAATTACCTCTAAATATCTCACAAATATGTCTGCTCTTCTCTGCCCCTATCACTGACCAAGTTGAGGTCCTTATTTCTAACATGGTCTACTGCAACAGTCTTCTAAATGAGTTTGCTATTTCCAGTCTTGTACCTCTTGAATTTATCTTACGATTGGTTGTGTAATCTGACAAAAACAATGTATGAGCCAGTCACTTCCTATTTAAAATCCTCTGCTAATTATCCATCTCCCACAGAATAAGATCTAAACTCAATAAAGGCCAGGTACAGTGGCTCACGCCTGTAATCCTAGCACTCCGGGAGGCCGAGGCAGAAGGATTGCTTGAACTCAGGAGTTTGAGACCTGCCAGAGCAAGAGAGAGACGCATCTCTACAAAAAACAGAAAAATTAGCCAGGTGTGGTGAAACACGCCTATAGCCCCAGCTACTCAGGAGGCTGAGGCAGGAGGATTGCTTGAGCCCAGGAGTTTGAGGTTGCAGTGAGCTATGATGACACCACCGCACTCTACCCATGGCCACAGATTAAGACTGTCTCATTCATTCATTCATACACACATACATAAATAAACTCAATAAAATATTCCATACAGCCCCTCACTGATCTTTTCCCAGTTGCTCCTGGTCATATACTCTAAATTCCAGCAACCTAAAATTGCTTATAAAACCAAACGTAAACAGTAATTCTCTCCTCTATGCTTTTGGTTTTCCTCCACTTGTAATATCCAGTCCTTCTTCTTCCCCTATATTCTACTCCTCCTCTTTTGGGACTGACCACTGGCGTCAACTTCTCCAAGAAGCTACCCCTGACCCACTTCCTTCATCCTTTCCAATGTCAGCCTTGGGTTAGATGCTCCTCCTATCTTCCACAGTGCTCTTTGTAACACTCCCCTTACTATTCTAGTTTATATCCTTTGAGCTCTTTGAATTCAAAGACAGCATCGTATTCACCTTTGAGTGTCCAGAATCTGGCACAAAGTAAACATTCACTAAAAGCTTGTTAAATAAATGAAGAAAGAAACAGTGAGCAAGACATACAAATTGTCTAGCAGAATATATAATTATCATTATTGTCTACTTTTGAGTATGATTATTAGATTCACTTGATTCTTGCAGTTACCAACTGGCATTTTTAAAGCTAATTACCCAAAATCTTGGCAAAGAGATCCCTGGGAAAAGCTCAGTTTGGTTTTTAAATTCCTTCATTTTAGGAAACGTTTTTATATCACCCCCATAATTCTTAACAGACATTTGTGTAGGCAAGCATTTGTTGACATATTTGTTCAACCTTAAGAAGTACAAGAAATTAGATAAGCAATTATATTTAAAAGGTGTTAAAAGGCCAGGTGGGCCAGGTGCAGCAGTTCACACCTGTAATCCCAGCACTTTACGAGGCCCAGGAGGAAAGATCACTTGAGATCAGGAGTTCAAGACCAGCCTGGGCAATATAACAAGATCCTGTCTCTATAAAAAAATTTTTTTTTAAAATCAGCCAGGCATGGTGGTGCGCACCTGTACTCCCAGCTACTTGGAAGGCTGAGCCTGGGAGTTCAAGGCTGCAGTAAGCTATGACTGTGCCACTGCACTCCAGCCAGGGTGACAGAGTGAAATCCTGGCTCTTTGAAAAAAAAAAAAAAAGAAAGAAAAAAGAAGTGTTAAAAGACTAATGACTGGGGATACAGAGGGGGAGGAAATTAGGCATACCAAAAGTTCAACCTATTCGGTTAGATACTGTTAATAATGCTTCAGTAAAAATTGCAATTCATTTATTTCATTGCTTCATATGATTCCAACTTTCACTTATCTTCCATTTCTCCTAAGCCGTCCTAAATCAGTAAAATCAAGGTGTCTGGACTTTTCCGAAGCATTAGTGTGTTCCAGTTACCTTTTTCCCCCAGAGGAAGTACTTTTGATCTCAACTATTCTTCAAAAAGTTCTAAATGTGATCACAAGATTTTATCTATTTGAGATAATTAAGCGTCATACAAACTGAAAGAGGCAATAATATGTATTGTGGAAAGAGCAATAAATTTGGAGTCAGTGAAAATTAGTTGTCAATTTTGGCTTACTTGCTACTGGGAAAATCTAACCTCCAGGTGCTCCTACTTTCTCAAATCTAAAAAGAGAATTCCAGTATCTTGTCCAGATCTACTTGTGTGTATGTAACAAAACACTCTGTAAAGTATCTAAATAGCAGAAATAACTTGAAAAATACGAAACTGCAATCTGTAATTGAAACATTTAGACTGACTAAATCCACTGTCATATTCACTAAAATGCTTTAAAGTAGAATAAAGTTATCATTATAACTAAGTCTAAACTTGTCACATTTGTATTTATTCAATAGTGACAAGAATTTTAAGAATACGAGGGGCCATCCCTGGGTTCTCCAGTAGTTGGTGCATGACTGCTAAGCAAAGGCCTTTCCAATAATTTTTAACATATATACATCCCCTGTTATTCCTCTGCAATCCAATCATCTTTACCTGCATGTCTGGTATTGTTTAACATTAATCCCTTCAAATGAATTAAAGAACAATACTGCTTCCAAAACAGTAATTTCAATTTAGAGGAATAACATCTTAATATGTTCAGAGCAAAAGAAACCAAGCTAGCTACCTCTACTTCAAAGATAAAATCCTCATCATTCTGGAAAATAATTATGATCAATCTTTTTGACATTCTGTACTATGAAAATATTTGAATAGTAGTTTTAATGTTAAAAGCCTCAAAATGCTTAGGTAAAATCAATGCAAAACAATGATAGGTTAAATAAAAATTCACTCTTCTTATTTTGTGATTTCAAAGTTTTATTATCCACTATCTATGACACTTTCCCTTTGCTACTTGGGACAGAGTTGCCCAGTACATTTGGTGTGGTCCTCTCAGAAGACACACAGAGAACGGTAATAACAGAAAACTCACACACACTCTATAACAACAAGACAAGAGGGAGTTGAAGGGGGAAAAAAAAGAGACTGTGATAAGGGGTAAAGGAGAGACGAAGGGGAGATAGGAGAGAGGGAGAAAAAAGAAAAAGAATGACAACAAAATCTGTTCTTCCAGAAATGGTTTACGTTTATAAAAGAGTGACGTTTCCAGAAAGAGAATCTATTACACAACAGAAAGTAATAAAGAGGCCAACAGGAAAAATAATTGAGACAGCAGTGTCATAAATATTCCAAACTCCAACCAATTTCACATAAACATATACTCTTCTCTGACCCAAATCATCAATTTTATGTAAAACTAATCAAGGCACATTACAGTGCTAAATAAACTGTAATCACAAATCTTAGATATCATGGCAATTCAGAGCTGGAAATTTCCTTACCAACCATCTAGCTCAACTCCCACACTCGGAGGAATAAACTGAGGCCCTGTCTCATAACCACAATCACAAATGACTGCAGGACTCAGGAAACCTAGGATTCTTTGTTCAGTATTCTTCCATTTATACTGCCTCTGATTTTATAAGCTAATTATTTACCATCAACCATAAATTTAAAATGATAAAGTTCTGTCACATCTAACAAAAGCTTTCTGGTAGCCTGATCAGAAGTAAACACTTCATAACGCTGTTCACACAAATTAAAAAACAAAATTAAATATAACACTTCCCAAGGGAATTAATAAAACGTCCTAAGTTAAGAAAAAACAAAAATCCACTATTTTGAAAATTTCAGCCATTTAGACTAAGGAACATAACATTTAAAATTAAAAGTACTTCCTTGCATCTATGGCAAGAATAAAAAGGAGGAATGTTCAACAAGGCCTATTTTTGTGTGTGACTCTTTGCAGCCAAATCATTTGGTAGATTTCCGTCGCTATTCTCCTTTCTGATTAAATAGTAACTCACTTATCAAGGTTCTTCTCAAATTTCAGTCCTGTATACTTTAAGGATGTAGCCACAAGGTTGTTTATACCCTCTTCATACAAGTCACTAGGGTCTGAGAATACCCCCTTTAGTAGCCAAAGTGAGGCTCTTGCTTTAGGTTTGGGGCCTAAAAGGCTGGATATTTTTCCAGACAGACTGATACGTTAGATTGTTTTTCTTCCACACAAGTAAACTTGAGGCATGCTATTAATAGGAACTACATTTCAAAAATCCCCATAGCAATTTATACTTTTAGGTACAACGGATTTGCTTCAAGCTTTGTTTTAACCTAGAAGAGGTAGGTGAGGAAGGAGGGGGCAGGCACAAGCCTAAGGTTGTTGTTTTTAAATGCAGGTGTAAAATATAAGCCAATTTTCTTTAAAGTACTAAACAGCATTTTTAAAAAATTCTTGTTTTCAACAAGACTACATATAATACCCACCAGGTAAATACCTGCATAGGGCATTTCCAATCTGGAGTAGTAGGTTTCTGCTTCCCTAAGAAAACGGATACTCCAGAGGTTTCCCCTCTTACCCTCCCAGTTGCTTTTAGTAAGATACGCTGATGGCAAACTTGGGCCCCTTGTCTTTTTGTGCCCCTAGACATTCTCTGGCCTGATTCTGATTACTCCTCCCCCTGTGTATCCCTGCTCTCCCTTAATTAGAAATCATACCTTAGAATCGTACCTCTCTTCCCCCCGTGTAAAAAGAGAACGCCTGACCCACCACCCGGAGAACAATGTAACCCAACTCCGAGTCCATAGATTCCTCTACCCAAGCCCCAGGATTTATCTTAAAGGGAAATCAGACAGCGAGTTCTGTCCTGTCATCCCGGATTCCCTCAAGGTGTCCTACGCCTCGCCTGGGATTACCACTCCTTTCTGCCAGGAGCATTATACTCACCTTCCTTTTCCAAGAGCTTGCCCCTCACCCTCGGACCTTGCACCGTGACCCCAATGCCCACCCTCGGAGCAGCGGAACCGGCGGCGAGTCACCTCAGAGGGCACAAGCCTGCGAGGGCGGGGGGCGGGGGCGGGTCGAGAGCGTCGCAGGCGGCGGCCGGACACGTCGGGTCAGCGCCCCACTCCCACCGCAGGACACACGCCCAGTACCTTTGTAGTGCACCCGCAGGTTGTTCTGAGAGAGGCCGATGTAGCTGAACTTGTCCTTCGGGCTCCAGGACCGAGGCAGCGGCGTCTCCTGTTCGTCCACGGCCGGGTAGAGGCGCTTCAGCCGCCGCTGCAGCTCCTTCTCCTGCTCGTTCAGGGCCGAGTCCCCGTGCGGGAAGGGGGCCGCGGCGCTGCTGCTGGCCGCCAGGGCTGGGGCCGGGGCGCCTCCGGCCGGGCAGGGGCCCGCGGCGAGGCCCGGGGGCGCGGGGGGCGCGCTGGTGGGG